CTAAAAAGTACTGTTAATGCATATTAAATTATATCCATTAAGGGGTTTCACTTTAATATTTTCATACATGTACATGTTATGCTCTGGTCATGTCCACCCTTCCTATTACCCTCTTTTCCTCCCGTTTTTCTCCCCTGTAACACTATTCCTTTTCTCTTTCAACATAGTCCCTCTAGTACATTCAGATTACCTTTTGTTGTTTTTGGATATTGCAGCAGCACCAAGGATCAAACTTGGGAACTTGTCCTGCCAGGTAAGTGCTTATACCACTGAGCCACCTCCCCGGCCTTTTCAGCTCCTTTAACTTGGATAAGAAATCCAAAAATAGTAGAACAACATTGAATTTCAGAAGCCTCATCGCCAATCTTCCGAAAGTCCTTTCTGTTTTTTTGTGAGAAGAGGAGATCTGGGAACAGCACGCAGGGCCTCATGCAAGCAAGGTGAGAGCTGTGCCACTGGCCACTTCCCGCCCCTGCATGCCATTTCTCAATCTCACCAGTTACTTCAATTTCACTAAATTTTACATATTTTCTATTTCCCACCTAGGCTGTCTGATTTGTTCCTTTATTGCTTTGTCTAAAAACACATTAAACACAGCCTCAGTATTTTCTGATAGTGAGAAAATTGACTCACTGATAGGAAATCCAAAAGTAGTAAAGCAACTAACTTTACACAAAACCAGAAACAAATGCTCCAATACTTTCAGCTCTGGGATCAGCATGCAGATAGGTGACTGCTCGCTCGTGCTGCAGCCATCTCAGCCAGACCTGGTCCTCAATGTAGGTAGAGTGACTCTTGGTGAGGAATATAGGCAAAAGCAGCAAAAATTTCAGAGGGACAAAGAGAAGAAGAAAGTTGTGCTGGCTGCTTGTGCTCTGTTAAACTCAGGAGGAGGAGTGATTCAGATGGAAATGGCAAATGAGGCTGACCATCCCCTGGAGCTGGGCTTGGACTTGGAGCAGGCCTTGAGAGAGCTGATTCCATCTTCAGATGTCCTTCAGGCTTTCTTTGAGACCCGGCAACAAGGAAGGTTTTTCCACATTTTTGTTAAGTCTTGGAGCAATGCTGCTCTGCCTGAAGACAATTGCACCAAGCCCCGCATTTGCAGCGTGAGTTCTTCCCTGTACCGCAGATCTGGTACCTCTACGATTTGCTTAGATTTGAGGCAGGCATACGATTTCCTGAAGACCCAGAAAAGGAAGGCACAGAATACTCTCCTTAACGAAGAATCAGAACATAGCAAAATCCTCAGAGCTATGCATCAGGACATCATGGAATCAAATTCTCCTTTCCAAGTTTTCCAAAGCAACAAGATTGAATATGGTCACATCCTGCCTTTTCCTGAGTCTCATTCTGTAGAGTTTAAACAGTTCTCCACACAAAAAACCCAAGAATATGTAAAAAGAGTAATTCAAGAGTACATCCCTGCCTTTGCCAACACTGGAGGGGGCTATCTTTTTATTGGAGTGCATGATAAGAGTAGGCGAGTCCTGGGATGTGCAAAAGAAAATATTGACCCCGACTCTCTGCAAAGAGTGATAGCACAGGCAATTTCTAAGTTGCCAGTTTTCCATTTTTGCTCCACTGATGCACAAGTTTTCTATGAGATCAAAGTTATAGATGTGTTTAAAAATGAAAACCTATATGGTTATCTCATTATTGTCAATGTTGAGCCTTTCTGCTGTGTGGTGTTCTCGGAAGATCCTGCTTCATGGATGGTGAAAGAGCAGCAGAAAATAGTCAAACTGAACATGAATGAATGGGTGGCAAAGATGATGAACACAGATCCAGGTAAGAAGGAGGGGGTTCCTTCCCTGCCTCTTCTCCTTCTCCTTCTCCTCCTTCTCCTTCTCCTTCTCCTTCTCCTTCTCCTTCTCCTTCTCCTCCTCCTCTCCTCTTCCTCCTTCTCTTTCTCCTCTTCCTCCTCCTTCTCCTCTTCCTCCTCCTTCTCCTCTTCCTCCTCCTTCTCCTCTTCCTCCTCCTCTTCCTCCTTCTCCTTCTCCTCTTCCTCCTCCTCTTCCTCCTCCTCCTCCTTCTTCTTTTTTTGGTAGAACCGGGGATTGAACTCAGACCCTTGCCCTCCCAGGGGAGCGCTCATTCCACTGAGCCATCTCCCCAGCCCCTGGATCATTCTTCTGAATGGGGGAAAAATCCACTCTATTATCACAACTAGAGCTCCTTGAGCTTTGAGAAGTGTGATAATGAGTCTAGGTACGACACTTGATCTTAGCCAAAAGGCTGAGAAGCAATGATAACAAGTCTAGAAACTGTGCAGTATTGCACTTTGTCACCTCACTTATCTCAGGTTAAATAAAATTTACAGATCACCTAGTACAAGCTGTCCCAGTGGCGAGGGATGAAGTCATGCAAGATGCTTTCTTCTTTCAGATTTGCCTGAAGCTTTTGAATCTCAGCTGACTCTATCTGACCATCCTGCATACTGCAGAGAACAAGTGAACCATAAAACCCAACTCCAGCAGCATTTATTTCCAGGTACCTGTTGCCATTTAATATACGATGTCAGGGACTGGAGAGGCAGCTCAGTGGCATAATCACCTGTGTGGGAAGCACAAGGTCCCAAGTTCAATCCCTGGTACCAGAAATAAAAAAGTAATACAAAATGTGAAAAGCAGATGATTGAAGATATTTGCTTCAAAATATTAAATATATTTTCCTATAGCATTTAGACAAGATATCATGTCTGCATCTTGTACTAGGAATAACTACTACAAAAAGACAACAGTATGCAATGTATTAATTATTATAACTGTACTACTAACCTGTTTTGAAACTATCTCATTGTTTTCTTTCTCAATAAAATTATTAAAAGAAAAATAAATAAATTATGTATTTTCTTGATATGCAATGAAAATGGCGCAGGCTCCTGGGATGAGTTTCATGGTTGTTGCAGGCAGGTGCTTAGGCCACTGAGCTATCTCCCCAGCCTCAAGGCAGGTTTAAAAATCTGACTTATTACCTGAAAAACCACATCAGGGATGGCTCAGTGGTAGGGTGCTTTTCTGTTCTTTCTGAGGTTCTGGATTCAATTTCAAGCACCAGATAGAAAGGAAATACAGGAGACAGTGCTGACATGTGCAGGCCTCCACGAAGTACTTACAAATGCGTAAATATCAGGGCTGAGGCCTGAATATGCATCTCACCAATGTTGTCCAAGGAGTCTGTTTCTCTGTTGGGCTTGGAAACTAGTGATGTGGCACAAGCACAGGCAAAAGTTTAGACTGGAACAGAGGAGGAACTGACCTCCTGTGCTCAGCCTTTCAGGGATGGAGGGATTGCATCTATTAAAATGTACAATTATCAATCTGGTAAAGCAAAACTCCCGAACTATGAAAATTTCTCTTAGAAGAAGCAAGTGGGGAGAAATTACCAGAATCCCAGAAGTAGCACAACATGATAATAATTCAAGAACATAGATAATCTTAGGTAACATCTCTTTCCTTCCAAAAAAAGAAAATATTGCAGCTTCATTTTCTATAGGCCTTTCTACCTTGAAAATAAAATGCACATTTTAGGAGGGGGAAAACTGCATGTCTCATTCACACACTGAGCATAAGAAATGTGAGAAGTGGCAATAGACGGGAGTGTTAAAATGCCTTACAGGTGTCTCAACATGTATCAATGCAAGGTAATTAACATATTAGGTCTACCGTAGGTCTGTTTCTAATCTAAGAGTTTATTTACTTGAGATTTTTGTAGATTTAGCTTGTCAGAAGGGTTTCAGACATTCCACAACAAGAATGTGACATACAGGAGGAGCTGCACACATCATGTTCAGGTCCTCAGGCTCAATGCAATGCTCCGTGTGTGGCACACTTGCTTTCCATGTGGTAACACAGAGACACACCACTCAGTTGACCAGATTTGTGTGACTCAGGTTCAAGAGAGGGGCACTAGGGAGTTTCTCTTAAATTGCACTCTTATTATGGAGGGCAGTATTCTCCTTTTTTTTTTTTTTTTTTTTTTTTTGGAACCAGGGATTGAACTCAGGCCCTTGCACTTGCCACGGAAGCGCTTATCCCACTGAGCCATCTCCCCGGCTCCCCGTATTCTCCATTTTAAATGTAATAACTCATAAAAACAATACGAATATCATTTTCAAACCTTCTCTATTTGTTTCCTGCCTAGTGTCACCAGGACGTTGGCAGTATATCCCTGAAACTCTCTGGATGGAGCTGTCCTCACAGCACAAAGGATTGGAGGAGTTAATACATCAGCAAGTCCATCCTGCCTCCTGGGGAATTCTGATCTTTTCCAGAAGCTGGGCTGTGGACCTGGGGTTGGAAGAGAAGCAGGGAGTCCTCTGCGATGCTCTACTCATTGCGCACAACAGACCCCCCACTCTGTACACCATTCTGGGGGATCAGGATGCAGAAGGGCAGGACTACTGCAACCGCATTGCCTTGACATTGAAGCAGAAGCTGGTGACCATGGGTGGCTACACTGGGAAGCTGTGTGTCATGACCAAGGTCCTCTGCCTGAATCCCAACATCAACGCAGTGTCCCTGGAGATGTCCAGCTCTCAGATTCATTATCCCTGGTCCTATAACTTTGTAGGCACCCAGCAAATGGAATCTTTCCTCCAGGCACTCATGATTGTCTTACTGGGCTTCAGATCTTTGCTGCGTTATCAACCTGAGAAGAATTCTTATCTGTCCAACTTCCACCATCACAGCCATTTGTTTGTCCATGATTTACCTGTCTCAGGAAAAGCAACCATGGCCATGAAGATCAGGGATAGAAACATTCGTCTCTACATGGAAGCTGAAGAAGTTGAAAATGTCTGTGAGGATGTGTCGGGAAAAACAACCATGGCCATGAAGATCAGGGAAAGATAGAAACGTTTGTCTCTACTTGGAAACTGAAGAAGTTGAAAATGTCTGTGAGGGTGTGTCGTAAAAGGATTCACTCTACTTCAAGCTGAATGGGTTCATGGTGTCAAGGAAACCTTAAAAACTGAGAGAGACCTGAGTCTGAATCAAATAACATTTATGTGACAGACACCTGCAAAACTCTCTTTGAAAGAGATTATTCATCCAACGATGTTGCTGTGCTTGTGAGTACTGCAAGTGAGATGGACATGAACATCATAATAATGATATAAAGTGAATCATGAAAAATGTTCTCACCTCCAAAAATGATCTTCGTTCTTTGCTTCTGTTATTTATTTATTTGTTTATTTATTTTTTTCTTTGTTGCGGAACTGGGGATTGAACTCAGGCCCTTGGGCTTGCCAAGCAAGCATTTATTCTACTGAGCTGGCTCCCCGGCCCTTATTTATTTGTTACTAGGAAGCAAACTCATATTTATTTGAAGTTATAAAATTGCATTTACCAATATAGTCTCTAAGTATTGGAAGGTAGATCATTATGTGCACCACATGGAGAGGCAGTGCATTATGTTTTGTTTGTTTGTTTGTTTGTTTTGCAGAACCAGGGATTGAACTCAGATCCTTGAACTTGCCAGGCAAGTGCTTATTCCACTGAGCTATCTCCCCGGCCCCTGCATTATGTATTACACTTTGTGTTTCCTGTATATTTGAATGCCTGAGAAATGAATTTCCACAAGCTCCAAACAGTATAGAAGTATGGTACAGATGCTAGAGATATTTGACTGGAAATGCTCACATTGGTTTATATGAGGCATAACAGAATTTGAAAAGGAATGGCAACTCATAGAAGTCAGTGGGGGAGGGGGGGCTGCAAGATAGCTCAGCAGACTAAAGCACCTGTTTACGCAAGCTTAGGCAAGCACAGGGAATAAGGTTCAATCCTCTGAATCACATGTCATGCCAGCCCCACCTCCAGGGTGGGTTGAGCTGGCTACAGAGTCCAGGCATGGTGGCATATGCCTATAGTCCCAGCACTATGGAGGCTGAAAACAGGAGGATCACTATGAGTTGAAGCTGTGTAGTGAAACACTGTAACAACCAAATACATTAAATAAATAAAATAAATAGAAATCAAGGGGAACTTATTCTCTGAGAACAACCTTTACAGAAACACATTGTGGTAAGATACTACACTACACTACACTACACTACACTACACTACACTACGGCATGTGGAGGCAAAGAGAATATTTTGCAGATGAGGAGCTCTGGAATAACCAATGTTCTCTGCAGAGCAAAAGGTCAAAGTATACGGCTTTTATCTGTCTCAATTAGGGTGTTGGGTGGAGCTTGCAGTGTAGTGCTAGGGCAAAGAAACTTTGCAGGCATTAGCTGTAAAAAGAAACAGGGCAGTTTTATATCAGGCTTCCTAATTACCAATGCAATACATAGTTTAGCAAGGAGGTATAAATCTTATTGAGTCCCATGGCGTCAGCTGAATGTCATCTCAGGTTGTAGCCCTGGAATCTCACAAGCTCCTGCTTGAGCCCCTCTTCCAGCCACGGGGAGGATATTCTCACCAGTGTGCTGTAATGAGAAAAGTCCATGTCTTCACTGGAGGTGATGACAATCTTTTTGTCAATTATGAGACTTTTTGATTCATTCTATGCAGCACCTCATTTCAGTAAATAGTGCTAGACTAAAAGTCAGGACAAGATGGAGCAAAGAAGCTTATTTTTTTTCTTGGAGAGATCAGCTTCATTATCTGCCACAATTCTTGACTTTAAGTGGAAAAGCAACTATTGATTATGATAAAATACTTAAAGATATATTTTCATAAATATAGCTCAACCAAATTGGTCAAGCAATGGCCGTGACCCATCCACATGGCTGACACTGATCTACAAACTGCAGTACAGGGTTTCAGGATAAATCCTGAGGGGACTTCACTGACCTTGTCAGATACAAAAGTTACATTTCTTGTTCTATAGGTCTTGCTTTGTCTTGGTCTTAACGATTCAACAGAAAAGTATAAAAACAAGGTATACAAAGAAAAGCCATATTAATATGCTGAGCTGTAAAAGGCTCAAGTCAACAACTTCTGACATTGCCAGTCCTATGGAAAACCCACTACTATTATGGACTACTGGATTATATTGAAATATTTTGCTGAATTCATGTACCTGTAATATTTAAATGACAATGGAATACACTGCTCTGACAAAACTAAACAAAAAAAAGGATACAAATGAATGACCATTTTGTATCTGTATATTCAAAATAGGATAGATCTACAGCTACATTCTCTTAATTCAATGAATACAAAGAGTTGTTCTAATAGTGTTTTGGAAAGGTTATCATGTCTGCATCTTGTACAATGAATAACCAAGACAACAATATGCAATGTATTATTGAAACTGTCCTACTAATCTGTTTTGAAACTGTCTCATTGCTATTTGTTTCTTAATAAAAGTATTTTTAAAGAGTAAAAAGAAAAATAAATATAGCTCAACAAAATCACATTAGTGGGCTGGCCAAATATCTCAGTGGATTAAAGAGTATGCAAGCAATCCCAGGGGCTGGCTATTTGATCCCCAGGCCTGCTGTGCCAGCCCCGACCCTGGGGCATTCTGAGGGGGCAGTTGACACTGGGCGTGGTGGTGTGCACCTGTAATCTCAGCACTTGGGAGGCTGTAAACAGGAGAATCACTACAACCTGATCTAGTAGTGAGACCCTGCTCACCCTGTAGACCCTTCCTAAAAATACAGAAAAATAAAAATATTTTTAAAAGCACATTAGTGCACCATTGAATTGCATGTAAGCAATGTGTGCATAAAAGTGACAAAACTTTCTCCATATAATGAGATATCCTTTTGTACATCTCTATTTATTTCAAAAGGATGCAAGGTGTGGAAATGATGGCATTTTGAATGATTTTTCTCTTCCCTAGTACCAGAGACTGAACCCATGGCCTAGACTCACATTACAGATGCTTGAACACAAAGCTATAACTTATGATGTTGTTAAAACTTGGTTTTTGAGTCACAATTTTGATAAGTTGCCCAGAGTGGGCTCAGACTTGAGACTCTGCTCAGGCACTCATCCCAGTAAATGCAACTGTAGCCATGGGCTTCCTGCCCCTGACTTTCATCAATTCTAGATGCAGTAATGCTTCTCTGTTTCTTTTGAGTCATGCTGTGTGAATATTGAAGTCCTTTAGCCTTTTTATTTTTATTTATTTTTGTATTTTAGGACAGGGTGTACAGGGTCTTACTGTGCAGATCGAGTTTGCAGTGATCGTCCTGCTTACAGCCTCCCAAGTACTGGGATTACTGGCCTGTGCCACCACACCCAGTCTCAATCGCTCTCTCACTGCGTCCCGGGGGCAGGGCTGGAATGGCAGGCCTGGGGATCAAACTCTTGGCCCCAGGGTCTCCCTAAGCAGGCACTTTAATCAGCTGAGCTATTTGGCCAGCCCTTCTTTAGCCTTTTTAGAAAACTACAGATATACATTGGGTAAACACTATTGCAAATCAAAACTCCACATTTACATATTGCAGCTGATGACTTAAATCTTCACAAACATGATTTGTCTGTTCAGAATTGTTTTACTCATGTGATAGTCCATAGTATACCCGAGTTTCTGTGCCTAAAGAAATATTATCCTTTGCTGTTATAAAATGTAAAATGGCCATTGACATGTTCTGTGTTGTACCCTGTCAAAATTGACTCCATTTTGTTGCCCTTCTAACCTCGCCGAGTTCCTGTTCTGTATGCGCCGACCCCTCCCAACTCCTCACCCTTGTGACCCAAGTCTTATGACATCTGTACCCCAAACTCTCTTATCTTATGAACTCTGTGACTGCCAACTCAGCACCCCCACCCAACAGGACCACCCCATGAACTAATGACCGGCTGTACCCCAAGATTGCTGACTTCAGCATCCTACCCAATGGGACCACCCCATGAACTAATGACCCTGCCACTTCTTCTTCTCCACCCCTTCCCTGTTTTTGCGGTTTTCAAGCTTAAATACTGATCCTTGTCAATGCTCGCCGTGCCTCTTTGCACCTTGCATAGAGACCGCCGCTAGGTACCAGCTAAAATAAAGCGCTTCTTTTAACTTTTGGACTTGCCTCATTGTCATTTGATTTTTGAGCTACAACATTCTGTACATTTTTATATTTCTCAAATAAATCATTTTGGAAATATGTAAACAATCAGAATTTTAAGGGACTCATTTGTTTCCAGGATTGTATCATCAGGATCTTAATCATTTGTGATGTTAGATGTTAGATGTCTTGGTCATTCTGGATCATAGCATTCCAAATTAGGGACCAGACTGCAATCTACAAAGACAATACAGCTATCCTCAATGAGTCTGGATCAAACAAACCAGCTGAAAAAGATGTGAGGCAAAAAGTGAAAGCACTGGAATGATAAATCCACAATGTTGCAATTTGCAACATGACTCTATGGATACTAACTGAGATCAGTAGATGCAATACCCTAGGCGTAGAGAGGAATTCAACAGTATCAGAGGACAAGACCTAATTGACACTTGTAGAGCACACATCAACAGAAGAATATATGTTATCTTTCAGAGCACATGAAACATATACCAACATAGCCCACCACTTGGGCCATCAAACACACTACCACAAATTTTAGAGACTTGACATTATGTACTGTAATTCACAGCAAAAGAGGAATCAAACTAGATATCTACTTATGATTCTGTGAGGAAAGAATTATCTTGGATTATCTGGGTGAACCCAACATAACCACAAGAATCCTTGTGGGAGGGAGACAAGAGAATCAGAATCAGGGAAAGAAAAAGGTGGAAGCACAACTCAGAGAACAGAGAAGGTGGTACACACTGTTGGCTTGGAAGGGGGAGCAAGGGAATACAAAGTGAACAATGAAGACAGCCATGAGAGGCCAGAAAAGGCAAGGACAAAGGTTGCAAACCTACTGATATTCTGATTTGATCTAGTAGCACTAATTTCTCTTTCTGCCCTACAACTATATAATGCATTCTTGTACTGCTGAAACTTTAACAATTATTATGGCAGTCTTAAGAATGTAATACAACTATGAGAGAAAAAGGTCAAATTTCTCACCTCAACAAAATAGAAAAATAAGAGAAAAATGAAACAATTGAAGGAGGAAAATGAAGGGCAAAAATCAATGACATTGAGATCAAGGCCA